GTTTATGTTATTAGTTTATGTGTTTAGTGGGGTCAATTCACTATTCAAGCTGCGAGGAGAAGCCACAGTGGGGAGTACTTCCTTGTTGCTGTTCCCAGGGAACGTAAAATTACTTATTAAATCTACTAACTACTAAAGATTACTTTTTCTTTGATGGAAGTTTTTTAACAAGTATAAGTATGGCTTAGCAGAAATTTTATTCTTGATTTTTTTTTCCTTTTTGTTTTTTTATCATTAAATTGGTGTAGAGATTAAACATTTTACGCTGTATGCGTTTTTGTTTAAAGTGTACCAGTTTAGCATGGTTAGCTTCGTTTTAATTTAAGGTAAAGCTATTTTAACCCTTGCTTATTAGGTATTAAAAACGCACGCTAAGCTGATTTTGACTTTAAAGACCCGTGTTAGTAGCTAAGGGTCAATTATAACACAGGATTGACCGCTCTAAGTCGTCACAAAGTGTATTGCAATCTGCGCTCTGCGTAGACCATCATTTTTTTGTACTATTGTAGCCGTCGTCAAACGATTCATTTTCATTATGTACGAATAAACAATAAGAAAAAAATTAAGATAACATGTTGTGATGGGCTTCTTGGATTGAGTTTTTTTTTTTACTGTGTGAGCATTTCATATTGCGAATTACCCTAAACAGACTGAAACAAGTAGCAGATACCATTTTAAAGGAGGAACAAGCAGGTTTTAGACCAGGCAGAAGCAAGATTAAAGACATTAATCTCAAGAAACATCTGGAAAGAAACACAACACTAGAATGACCTATATTATCACCGTTAAAATTATTTTGAACGCGTATGGCAAGTGGCGCTATGGGCACCACTGCGTAAATACAACATAAACCACCATGTGATAAACTCATTTTAAAACGTTAATAACAATGCAACTAGTGCAGTACTTCTCAATGGAAGCATTGGGAGATTTCGTACGACTGTTGGTGTGTGCCATGGCTGCCTTTTGCCCCGCCCCGTACTTCTTGATAGTCTAATTGAGTCAAGGGGACGCCCCTGACCTGAGCACGCATTCGTCAGAAGCGTAACCAGGTTGGGAGTAGTCCACGTGACCTCAAACACACCTGCACTGAACTCTGCACTGGATGAAAAGCCACGTTTACGGGTCGGTTACTCCCGGTGTTAAGTCAAATCCTTGAGCTGCCACATACGTGAGAGGTCAGGTGTTCAGGGCTAGGGTAAGGGTCGGTAATAGAGTTAGGGTGAGGGTTGGTATTAGAGTTAGGGTTAGGGTTGGTAATAAAGTTAGGGTTAGGGTTATTGTTCATGGCTAGGGTTAGACCTACGATTGGGGTAAGGTTAGATTTAGTCTTCCACATCAAGACTAAATCTCTCCCATCCCTTGACTCAGGTATATCGGAAACCCCTCAGTAGTGTCGGAGTTATGTATTTGGCAGGATCATGTATATGGCTTGACACCGTACACACCGTTCCAAATATACGGAAACTTTCAGGTATGCGTGACCCCTACACTTGACGTGTGCCGGCCTGCACACGGCTTGGATTAAAGATTCAACATCACTTTATTGCCTTCGACAGAAGGCTTTAAAATCGCGTTGGTACTGTTTAGAAGATTATGCACGATAAATTTTGAAGGCATGGTCCGAGGTTCACGACTTTTATTAGGCTGGTTGTCTTGGTAATGGGCATTGTCAAGGTCAGAAATTGGCTTCGTGGGGGGTTCTTACGTAACTGGAGCTGACCTTTTGTGTTTTCGTTTTTTGCTGTACTCTAAATACCTCGGGAATCCTTAAATGGTTGTCTATGAGTTTTAGATGGCAAGTTACCGTTGAGAAGACGAAGGTCAAGCTCGGAAATTGGCCTCATTGGGGGTTCCCATGTTATTGAATTTGACCTTTTACGTTGGTCGTTATTGTTGTTAGCAGGATAAGTCGAGAATCTGCAAACGGATGTTTACGATTTTTTGTGAGCAAGTTACCGTTGACGATATCAAGATCAAGTTCAGAAATGAGCGTCGTGGGAGGTCCGTACGTTAGTGTAGTGTGTAGTTTTGTGCATTTAAGTTCAGGCACTTAAAATCTTTTTGTCCCTTTTTGGAGGTGGTTATGCTGACAACACTACCCAAAAGTAAACTAGCTTATTATATATATAATAAGCTAAGAACAACACACCCAGGGAGAAATTTGTTTGTTGAAACAACATTGCCCCGGCCAGTGATCTGGAGCCCTGGTACTAAAACTAAATGACCTCAAATTTGGTCTGGGGATACCTTGGACTCACGTCTACAGAACAGCATTCAAGCTTTTAACATACGCCACTTTAAAATTGTGTAAAATAGGGATTTGGGGCTATTTTCGGTCAAAAATGTACATTTTGGGGTCCTGTGCCTTAATTTTTAATTCGAATGACCTGACATTCGGTATGGAGATACGTTGAACACATGTACAAAGACTGCCATTCACACTTTTGACGTATCCCACTTCAAAAGTGTATACAATTTTTGGCTATTTTTGGACCAAAAATGTACAATTTCGGTTTTCTGTGCCCTAATATTAAAACCGAATGACCTGAAATTTGGTATAGGAGATCCTTTGATACAATCCCACTGAACTTTATACATGCTTTT